GGGGCGGGGCTTCCAGGGAGGGATGCTGAGGGCTGGGGCGGGGCTTCCAGGGTGGGATGCTGAGGGCTGGGGCGGGGCTTCCAGGGTGGGATGCTGATGGCAGGGGCGGGGCTTCCAGGGTGGGATGCTGAGGGTTGACTCCATGTCCCCACCCCCCAGGCTATGTCCAGGGCATGAGTGACCTTCTCTCCCCGATCCTCTACGTCATTCAGAACGAGGTGGACGCCTTCTGGTGTTTCTGCGGCTTCATGGAGCTTGTGGTGAGGTGCAGGGTGAGGAGTGGGAGATGGGTCCCCCCTGAAATGGATCCCGGTCTCTCACGGGACCCTTCATCCCTGCAGCACGGGAACTTTGAAGAAAGCCAGGAGACCATGAAGCGGCAACTCGGCCAGCTCCTGCTGCTCCTGAGGGTGTTGGACCCGCCGCTGTGCGACTTCCTGGGTGTGTGACTGGGAACAGGAGAAGGCGGGGCCTGAGATTTCCTGCTGGCCATCGTGACTGTGTCCAGGGCATTTGGGCCTGACCCACGGGAAAATCCCTGCATGACTCAGTACCTAAAACACACCTGAAAATGGGTTGTCGCTTCCAGCAAAACCTCAGTCGGCATGAGCATGCAGGCACCCTCGGGCACCTCCTCCCTACTCTGCCCACCCCGACTCAGCCCTGACCCGCCGCATATATTTAGTCATTATGTTGTTATGTGCTCTCAGAACCAAGTCTTCGCTGACCTTCTGGGGGGTTTTCAGAGGCTGTACGTTGCACAGGAGGAGATTGCCCATCTTTCTCCCAAAGCAGCTGGTGGATTCAAACTGCCTGCCTTTGAGTTGGCAGTGCGGCTTCTTAACTACAAGGCCACCAGAACTCCTAGGACATATCTTAGAAATGAGGACTAGGACCAGGATGTGATTCTTAACACTGACTGACAGAGCTCCGTGTTACCCTGAGCCACGGGTTAGAAATGGCTTCTCTGGCCCCTGGGCTGAGGCTGACGGTCATGGTTGAGTCACTTCCTCCTCTTGTAAAGTAAGCCAGGGGGACCTGACGCCTCCACACTCTTCTGCCAGTGTGTAATGATGGTGGTGATCTTTCATTTACTGAGCTTGTAAACATGGCGTGGTGGTGGTGCTGGACCTCGTGGTCTGACTTTACAAGGGGGATTAATAACATCAACAGCCCAAACTCGATTCCTTTTAGGTGACGTCAGGCGCACCGCGAATCTTTATACCCAGCCCAGGCCTCTTCATCCTTTCCTCAGCGCTCTGCTCCTCCGCTCGGTTCCGCAGTTTGTGACTGTGACCACACAAAACTCATAGACTGGAGCCACCATCGTTGTTGGGTGCTGTTTTGTTGGAACTGACCCTATGGCTGGCCCGCCAGCAGGTTTTTGGACTCAGTAAATCACACGGGAGGAGACAGGCCTTCCTCCTGTGGAGCAGCTGGTGGATTCGAACTGAATGGCTTTGAAATTGTAGCACAGCTTCCTACCATCAGGCCACCGGAGCCCCCGGGATTTATTGGGCTGTGACCACAGGCAGGCAGTCTTCTTGCCTCGTGACCCCTGAGGTCTCTTGTTTGTTTAGCTTCTGCCTTGAGCAGTAAGTACCCGGAGGCACCCCACTCCCACAGCAAGCCTCTTGTCCGAAGGCACTGGGCTCTCGGGCTCTGGGCCTGGAAGCGACTGTACCTCCTTTTGAGGTACTGCGCTTGCTGTCCTGCTCACTGTCTCCCACCATCTCTCTTTGTCTTCCCATCTTGGAGGTTCCCAGCCAGGGGCCCAGGGTCCAAATAATTCTCCACTCTCACCTCTTCTTTCTTCGTGGTCCTGAGATGCGATCCTGGCTTCTCACTTCTGAGATGACTCATTTTAAGTCTAGTCAGATGTCAAAACTGACTAGTTTTTCTCCTTACAGTTCCATACATCTAATTTGCATAGTTAGCAAGCTCTCCAATCCCCACGGTGGCCCACCAGCACCTTCTTTGCATAGTCCCACCCAGTCAGGGGGAGTTACAAGCCCATGGTAAGGAAAGTGGTATAAAATTGGCCTGCTTTACCTTGGACGCTGTGTGCCGGGCACAAAGCCAAACGCTTTATGGATGTCCTCACTAGAATCCTGCCTACTGGGAAGGTGGGAACCTACCTGGACTCTTCCCCAAGAGGAAAGTCAGGCCTTTCCTTGGGCCTCTCAGACCCAGACTGGCCCATGTCATTGGAAACCTTCGGCAGTGCCTTTTCTAGTGACCGCATGGTGTTCTGCCCTCCTTCAGGATTAGAGGGCCTTAAGTTAAAGAATTGGAATGCTAACCACGTTTGATGGGTCAAACCACGTTGCACGAGAAAAAGGAGACGGTCCTTTTCCATGAACATTTACAGCCTCAGAAACCCAGTGAGCAGCTGTGCTTGGCCCTCAGGCCTTGTAAGGAGTTGGGATGCTTTTGACTCCAGTGGGTTTATGATTTCTATGTTGATTCGTTGGGTGATACAAGCATTTAACATTCTCAGTAGCTACCCATATGGTTAGAGGTTCAAATCCACCCAGTAGGGCTCAGGAAGCAAGTCTATGTGACCTACTTCTGAAATCCCACAGAGCCAGGTTCTCCCAATGCCATTGATCCTGGTTCTGACTTAACCTGACCCTCGAGGAGGTTAAGGTGATTGATTGTTAGTGTTGCGTTGTTGCTGTTTGGTTTTTATTCTGTTTGGATGGCTCTTTAGCACTCTCCCTTCTGAAATGTTAGCTTATATTTTTGCTAGTAGTTAAGGCATGAAAATAGGTGCCTTTGAGCTGTGGTGCTGGAGAAAAATATTGAATATAGCATGGACTGCCAGGAGGACACACAGGTTCACCCTAGAGAGGGTGAAACCAGTCTGCTCCTTGGAGGCAAGGATTCTGAAGCTTCATCTGACATACTGTGGACATGTTACAAGGAAGGACCAGTTCTTGGAGAGGGACATCATGCTTGGGAGGGTGAAGGGACAGCACAGGAGAGGAAGACCCTCGATGAGATGAATTAATTCAGTGACTAGGGTAGTGGGGGTGGGTGTGTCGGAGACAATAAGGTTGGTTCAGGATAGAGCAGGGTTTAGGGCTGGGTTTTGTTGTTTGTTTGTTTTTTTTAGTTTTTATTTTATTATTTTTGTGTGCGTGTACCGTCAAATCAGATCTGACTGGTACAGGAGGAGATTGCCCCTCCTTCTTCGGCAGAGCATCTGGTGGATTTGAACCGTGCGCCTCTGGGATTGCAGTGCAGCTTCTTGCCAGTAGGCCACCAGAGCTCCCCAGGGTTTAGGGCTGTTGTGCACAGGGTTGCTGTGAATTGTGAGCCGCTCAGCGGCGCGTAACAACAGCAGGGCATGATGAGCAGATGCACCCCGGGGCTCAGTGATCACACGCTCGGCTGCGGACGAGAGGGCTGGCTGTAAGAAGCCACCAGGAGAAAGCTGCAGCGGTCTGCTTCCATTAATAGCCCTAAGGGGCGTGTAGAAGGAGTCCTGGTGGTTCAGTGTTTAAGTATTGCTCCATGGGGGGGAAAGGTGAGGCCTTCTGCTTCTGTAAAGATTATAGGTCCGTCAAGGCTCTCGGAGCCAGAACCGTCTCTCCTCAGTCACCGTGAGTCTGAGTTTCCCACCTTGTCACCTGCACTGGGTGTTGGCATTTAACTTTGGAGTTTCTCTTCTTCCTGTACCCTATGGAAAATTTTCATGGAAAACTTGACACTCACATTTCACCTGGAGTCGCAGAGGCAGGATGCGAACCTTCCCCCTTCAGAGCCTCCCCAGGGCACTAGCTCTCTTGGATGGGCGGCTTCTCACAGCCAGGCTCCTCTGGAAGCCCCAGACCCCCCAGCTGCGCGCTTTATGGCTGGGACGGGGTCTGAACTGGTTTGGACCTGGGTCTCTGCCTGTGATGCTCACACACGTACCCCCTGCCCTCTCCCCTTCCTCCTCTAGACTCCCAGGATTCTGGCTCCCTCTGCTTCTGTTTCCGGTGGCTGCTTATCTGGTTCAAGAGGGAATTCCCCTTCCCAGACGTCCTGCGGCTGTGGGAGGTCAGCGGGCTGCTTCCTGTAGGGGGCAGGCCTTGGGCAGGAGCTGGGGAGAGACTGGGTGCTGACGTGCCCCCCCAACCCCATCCCCCAGGTGCTGTGGACTGGACTCCCCGGACCCAACCTGCACCTGCTGGTGGCCTGTGCCATCCTGGACATGGAGCGTGACCCCCTCATGCTGTCCGGCTTCGGCTCCAATGAGATCCTTAAGGTGAGGCCCCTGCTACCCTGCTCCTGTGCAACTCCAGCTGGGTGTGAATCCACCCTCTCTGACCTGTCCCATTGCCTACCTGTGAGGCCGCCCTGTCCCGGGCCGCCTTACTTCACGTGCACTTGGCCCAGAAGGATGAGGACCAGACCTGCACGTGGTCTGGGGAGACCTCGCAAGGCGGTGACCAGTATCACAGGGGCTTGGGAGCGGCCACTGTCCACTCTTGAGCCCACCGTGTTGGCTGCTGGGGATAAAATGCGTGTCTGAGTGGACCCGTGCAGTTGAGGTCTGTGGTGGTCGAGGGTCAGCTGAAATCATGGTCTTCAGGTCATCAGATCTGTTTTCAGCTCAGGAGAAAGATGGGTGGCGATTTGTAACCCCATAAGCTCAAGGGTCAGCTGAGTAAGAACTGACTCGATGGCAAATGAGTGAGCGGCCCCGTGTGACATCTCATGACTGTCTCAGGGGGTTTCCAGTTTGAGATCTGCGTGGGGACAGTCTCCCGCTCCAGCAAGGCCCCATCTAAAGGAGCACAGTGTTTATAAGAAGGGCACAGGCACAGGTGCCGGGCATTAGGACTTGATGTTGCCTTTTGGGGGGCATCATTTATCACTACACTGTGTTAACACTGCAGGACAACAGAGGGCTTCGAGAAGTGCGGTGGAAAACAAAGGTGGTTTTGTTACGGGGTACCCCGGGGTGCGTCCTAACTCTTGCTGCCTCTGAAGGACAATATTACTGCCGTGAGGCCGAAATCTTCATTGGGGAAAAAATGGGCCTTCTCCCGTTAACAGTTCAGTCTTGGGGACCCAGTGCAGGGTCACAGGGGCTGAATGTCTCAACGACGCTGGGTTTGATTACGGAGAGAATTCAGGTGGGAAGGTGCATTACACATTGGCTGCTAGCTGAGAGGCTAATGGTTCAAAGCCCTTAGCCAGCCTGTGGAGAAAGTCTCCTAAGGATTTACAGCCTCTCAAACCTGGTTGGGAGGAAGCTGCCTCGAGTCAGAATCGACTTGGCAACTGGGCATCCCTGCAGGAGCCCCGTACCAGGTGGTGGAGCTGCTGCAGACGATCAGCCTTTGGTTAATGGACAGATGGGCCTGTCACCTCACTGCAGCTCGTACCTCACCAAGTACATCACTGCTGTGGGGTGGGTTCCAGCCCGGTGGCCCCCTTCAGATTACGGGCTGTAAATTACACTGGGCGACGTCGACCCTTTGTCATCCTCTGGAGCTGCTGGTGGATTTGAGCTGTCAGGGATGTGCACCCTTTGGATAGCAGAGGAACCCCCCAGGGCGTACACCAAAAACAGGGTGTGGAATGTTGGTGCGTGAGGTGAAGGGCCACAGGGTTTAGGTAGGTGGTCTCCATCCCCCGCTCCCAGCAGGCCTCACAGAACAGCTAATGGGGAGCACGGATCTCCCCTCCACCTCTGACTGCAGGTGTTGGGGTTCAGGAGGGGCTTTGTGCCTTGTCTGACGCCTGCGTCTCTATAGAGCATGGAAAGTGCTCAGAACAATGACCGCATTGCGGTGTGTGAACTTCGCTGGCCCAGCAGCTCCTCTCTGAGCCCGAGAGGGCCAGACCCCGTTTTCCCTCCATTGTGTCCCCAGCATAAGACAGAGTGGACGCTTGGGCGGTGGTGGTAGAATGGCTGTGTGGCCCAGCTGACCCCCTCCTCCCGCAGCACATCAATGAGCTGACCATGAAGCTGAGTGTGGAGGACGTGCTGACGCGGACCGAGGCCCTCTACCGGCAGCTGACCGCCTGCAAGGTGGGCCTCTGGCCTCTCCCTTCCCACCTCGCGCTTCTCCTCCTCACCCCACCACCACTCCCCACTCCCCCCTGCGCCACTAGCTCCTCCCCTTCCACCTCACCTCCACTCACACCCAAGCCCCTCCCCTTCCCCATCTTGCCCCTCCCACCTCGCCTGCCCCCCCAGACCCTCTCCCCCACCTCACCTGCTCCACCCCAGCCTCTCCCACTTCTCTCCCCCTCCCCCACCTCTAGCCCCTCCCACCACCTTCCATGCCTCTAGCCCCTCACCTCCTCCACCCAACCCACCCCTGCCTCTTAGTCCCTCCCACCTCTCACCATTCCTCCTCCACTCCCCACCCTCTTCCCCCCTTCTCTCTCCTCTGGACCCCCTTCCACCTCTGGTCCTTTGTCTCCAATCTCTCCTCCGTCCCCTCCCCTCTGACCCTTGGCTCCCTCTCATCCCGCCTCCCTCTCTCCAGGAGCTGCCCCACAATGTGCAGGAGATCCTGGGCCTGGTGTCACCTGCAGAGCCCCACAGCCCCTCGCCCTCAGTGTCCCCACTGCCTCTGTCCCCCACCCGCTCCCCACCGGCTGTGCCTCCCCCGGCCCACCCGGCCCCGCAGCCAGACAGCAGCCTGGAGATCCTGCCAGAGGACGAGGACGCTGGCGACTCCTAGCCCGGCCGGGCGGACCCGCACAGGCACTTTACTGTCCCCACCTCGGCCGCCTTCCGAGAGGGGCCGGAGGGCGGTGCTCCCTGTCCTCCCGCCCCGCAGCCCTGCGCTGTCCTGACTAGCTGGCTCATTAAACTCACTTCCTAGAAAGGCTTGGCTTTGTGCTGGTGGGAGGGAGGCAGCCGCAGATACGCTGCCCTGGGCCTGGCGGAGGGGCCGGGGTGGTGGCCGCGTTCTGCGGACCAGCGCTCAACGCCCCGACCCCAGACCACGTGCCTCGGTGAGGGGTGACGCCAGTGGGTGAGAGTGATGGAGCCTGTGGACACTGGAGCCTCCCCGAGTTAGAGGGTTTTGTGGGAGTGAAGAGACCGCGCTGACGACCCCCAAAGCACAGGGTCAGGGCCCCAGGGCTGCCGCAGCCCGGTGCAAATAATATACTGCCCCATCTCAGACCATGCTTTCATCTCAGCCTGAGTGGGCCTTCGCAACCTGTTCGTAGCTTCCCGCGACGCTCAATGTGCAGGATGCCCGAGGGGGCAGGTTCGGGACTCCAGAGGTGCCCTAAGAGCTGTGCCTCTGCTTCCGGCGAGCTGCACCAGGGTGGTGCCAGGGACAGGGGTGGGGTACAGGGCTGGACCGCGTTCCTTTACTCAAAAAATACTTTAATAATGGACTTCCTTGTGGGTTGTGTGTGTGATGAACTTGGGCTTGTTGGTCAGGTGCGGTATGGTCACTGCATGCAGGGAGTCCGGGTGTGGGTGCTCGACCTTGTGCGAGCCGTGGCCGTGGTGGTGGATCCGGATGGCGGCCCGCAGCGCCGACTTGATGGCCGTCTCCACCCAGCCGTGCGGGTAGGCCGTGTGCTCCCCGGCGAAGTAGATGCGGCCGTAGGGGACCACCCAGTCCACAACATGCGGGTCTGGGTGCCAGGAGAGCGGCGGCTGCACCACGAAGCCGCCCTGGCTGTGCGGATCCTCGCCCCAGCGCTTTACCACGCCGGTGCCATCCCAGAGCTTGTGCACGTGGGGCCCGTGCAGCGCCGCCACGTCGTCCAGCACCAGGTGCAGCACCTCGTCCGCAGTCAGGCCGGCGAAGGGCGCCACCGAGTCCGACCAGGTGTACGAGGCCAGCAGCAGCGCGCCCTCGCCGGGCGGCGGGTAAAAGATGACGCGCGATGGGCGGTCAGTGTTGGAGTGGCCGCCCTCGATGTGCTCCTCCTGCCAGAAGGGCCGGTGGAAGCTCAGGTACACCTTGGTGGCCGGCACGTAGTGCAGCGAGCGCAGCATGTACTCCCGCTGGCGCGTCAGGGGCGGCGTGAAGTTGATGCGGCGCAGCGCGGAGCCGCTCACCGTCATCAGCACCACGTCGGCCGTCAGCACCTGGTGGTGGGTCCCCTGCGCCGGCCTCACGTGCACGTGCACCTCCTGCTGGTCCTGCTTCACCGTCACCACCGGTGTCTGCAGCAACAAGGGTCCCGACAGCGAGCTCAGCAGCGCGCTGGGCAGCAGGTCCCAGCCGCCCAGAATGCGGCTGTACCTGTGGGCGGGGCGAGAGGCGATTTGGGTGTGACCACGCCCCCGTGACACGCCCCTCCCCACAGCCCTGCCCCTGCAATCATTGGCATCTGGGGTGTGTGTGTGTGTGCGCGCGCACGCACGTGCAATCATTGGCATCTGTGGTTATTGTGTGTATGTGTGTGCAATCATTGGCATCTGTGGTTATTGTATGTGTGTGTGCAGTCATTGGCATCTGGGGTGTGTGTGTGTGCAATCAATCACTGGCATCTGTGTGTGTGTGTGTGTGTGTGTGTGTGTTTGTGTGTATACCATCAAATAGGATCTGATGGGACCAGGAGGAGACTGCCCGTCCTTCTCCAGCAGAGCATCTGGTGGATTCGAACCACACACCTCTGAAATTGCAGTGCAGCTTCCTGCCACTAGGCCACCCGAGCTCCCTTGTACCTGTCTTGCTAGCATTGCCAAATGTCTATCCCCGCTCCTCTCTGCTCTCTGGTCCTTGAGGATCCAGGAAGCAAGGGGCATTACTATCCCTGGGCCACCTCCTCCTCTGGTAACCATTTTTTTGTTGTTGTATTAATTTTCACTTACTGGGACCGGAAATTTAATGATCAAGGAGACGCAGTGCTGCAAGGATCTATTATCACCAAACCAGAAAAATTTTCCACTCTCTGGTACCCTTTCGTACACAGGTGGATGCCCCCAGTTGGAAGGGCAGAGGTTGGCAGGTGGGCGGGACCAGATGAGAACGCTCCACCTCTCTGTCCAGTGGCCCCGCCCCCCTACTGTTACCTTTTCCAATTGGCTTCTGCAGCCCTGCGCTCCGCCCCTCCTGCCAACCCCTAGCCAGTCCCAGCTGGCAGTCCGCTCCCATCGCTTGTTCTGATTGGCCTCTGCCGTCCTGGTCCCGCCTCTCAGCCCGCCTGTTCCCCGTTACTCGTCCTGATTGGTCCCCGCCTCGCCCCTTACTGTATCTGGTCACTGAGGCAGCTGTGGGCGCGCAGGGCCTCCGAGAAGCTGAGATAGAAGAAGCCATCCTTGGCCAGCGTGTCTCCCAGCATCCGCACGGCCTCCTGGCTCAGGTTCCCCTTCCCGAGGAGGTATTCCTGGGGAGTGGGCGAGGGCCCAGGTGTTTGAGACACCCCCACGGTGGTTCAGTCCCTCCCTCCCGCGTCCCTGAGGCTCGGGTAGGGCCGTGTCGGGCCCCGGGTCAGGGGGTCCCACAGCCCCTGGGCAGTTCCTGGGGGTCCCGCTCACCAGGAGCGTGTGCCTGTCGAATATCTCCAGGGCCCTGTGGCAGCCCAGCACCTGGACATCTTTGAGAGCCTGTGGGGAGCACGCCGGGGGGCTGAGCTTCTCGAGTCCCCCCCGGCCCCTGTGGGCCTGACCACGTCCTCCCTGGGGTCTCCCCCGGTCATCTCTGCCTCCCTGTCCCCTCTCCCCTCCCCCCTCCCGCTGGCGGCAGTCCTGGAGCAGACGTGGGCATGTCTGTCTGGTGCCCACTAAATGCTGGGTCTCATGACTCGTTCTGGGCGCGAGTGGAGCTCACTGGGCCCCCTGAACCCGTCAGTGCGGGCAGGAGTGATGGTCAGCAGGGGTGATGGCCAAGGAAGACATTCACAGGAACGTGGAGCTGGCATGAGGACAGCAGGGAGGATCTGAGGATCATGGGGAGGATCTAAGAGCCGTGGGGAGGACGAGAGGGCCGTGGGGAGGACATAGCTATGGTAGGTCGGACTTGAGGGCCGTGGGGAGGACCTGAGATGGTGGGGAGGACGTGAGGGCTGTTGGGAGGACCTGAGATGGTGGGGAGGACATGAGGGCCATGGGGAGGACCTCAGATGGTGGGGAGGACGTGAGGGCTGTGGGGAGGACCTCAGATGGTGGGGAGGACATGTGGGCTGTGGGGAGGACCTCAGATGGTGGGGAGGACATGAGGGCTGTGGGGAGGATGTGAAATGGTGGGGAGGACATGAGGGCCATGGGGAGGACCTCAGATGGTGGGGAGGACGTGAGGGCCGTGGGGAGGACCTGAGATGGTGGGGAGGATGTGAGGGCTGTGGGGAGGATGTGAAATGGTGGGGAGGACATGAGGGCCGTGGGGAGGACCTGAGATGGTGGGGAGGACATGAGGGCTGTGGGGAGGACCTGAGATGGTGGGGAGGACATGAGGGCCGTGGGGAGGACCTGAGATGGTGGGGAGGATGTGAGGGCTGTGGGGAGGATGTGAGATGGTGGGGAGGATGTGAGGGCTGTGGGGAGGATGTGAGATGGTGGGGAGGACGTGAGGGCTGTGGGGAGGACATGCGAATGGTGGGGAGGACATGAGGGCCGTGGGGAGGACCTGAGATGGTGGGGAGGACATGAGGGCCATGGGGAGGACCTGAGATGGTGGGGAGGATGTGAGGGCTGTGGGGAGGATCTGAGGATGGTGGGGAGGACATGAGGGCCGTGGGGAGGATCTGAGGATGGTGGGGAGGACATGAGGGTTGTGGGGAGGAC